GGGGGGGGAGCATTCGGGGTTTCCCATCGAAGTTTCGCCGGATTCGAGATTCGAAATATCACTGTGCCCGCTTAGTGTTTCGAGGGAGAGAGGGGTTTCATTTGGTGTAAATTTGAGATTTTTAGTTCTGGTTTCCTCGCGGCCTGCCGTTGATCGATTTCCCTTACCGGGAGTTTTAGAAATTTCAAAATTCGCCAGTGTGCCAGCGAACTTTAGATTCTCCGGATTGTTGATATTTTTTAGATGTATTTTTATACAGCACTTCTCTAAACTTCACGCTAAATGTAAATCATAATAAATTATAAATAGAAATGATTCTTAGCGCAGTGATCGCGATGAATTTATTCCAGGTTCATAAATTATTTTACTTCGTCATGCAATAGTGAGAAGAATTTTGGAAAATTTGATGAATTTTTTAACGTGATAGTTTATTTCTCGGATGTTCAACAAAGATATTAACAATATTAATAATTGTTCCAATAAAAAATAGACTGCTTCGTGAAAATTCATATTTTTACAAACGGAGGCTTATCACGTAGAATTTTCTCTTTTCGTCTTTGATTTTTGACACTCGTGCTGCATCTACGGTCTCCGATATTTCCGTAATTGTCGAACTTTGAAAATATTTCCGCTACTAACTATATCGAGGATCACTTTGAAAGCAGAAGCAGCGTGCGTATTCTCGCCTGATTCGAAAGTTTCGTTCGTAACTTTGTAACTAATCAACTTACACCTGCGCGTTACATTTCTTCGATCCCTAACTCTTCTGTAACGCAACGAACATTTACTTGCTTCCTTTCAAACTTTCGTCGATACTTTTTTAAAGTACTAGCAATGGACGGGAAAATCTAGGAAATGGAGGCAAAGAGGAAATTCCAAAAATCTAGTAGAAATTTCTTCTCAGATTCTATACTTCTTCAATTGTGTGCGTAGAAATATACAGACTAGCGTGAGAGTAAGAAGATTATCAGTTGATTGTTAATTATTTATTAACTAGCTAACTAAGAGATTTAATAATAATCCCTTTCGTGAGTTTTAATTTCTAAAAATTTAATTTCCATTCAAGTTATTAAACAACAATTCAATTCTTCCTTTACTAAACTTTAACCTCACTTCAAATTACAATGATTTAATTTCCATATTCCAATTCAGGATGGGAAAATTTTATAAAAATTTAGGACTTGCGTACAAAAGTATAATTCCTTTCCCAAATTTTAACTTCCCTTCATTTCTCTCCAATTTATAATAACTTCGTCCCAATTCTATTCTACCCCCGATTCATCCGCCGTGTACATTTACTTACTCCCCGCCCCCATCAGATCGATACTTCTTAAAGTATCACCAACACACGGAAAAATCCGCGTAGGAAACAGAAACGAAGAAAGACGAGTTGGTTTATCGATACTTCAGCGCGGGAACTCGATCTTCCCGAACGGGAAGAGCAAAGTTTGGAAGTCGGCAGGGGCGATACACTTGCTCGGAACTTGCCATTCGAACGAAGCGTCTGGTATATTTGTTTATAAAGGTGTTCACGTCGATCGTTTCTGTCCGGCGAATCTCGTCATCTCGCGCCTTTGTCCGAGATTTAGCCGACCAAAACTCCGAAAGTGTTTCTTTCGCTCTTTTGTTGCCGTGTCGCGAAACTTGTGCATTAGACTATCCGCTTGCTTGCAGAGTAGTGGCTCGTTTGACTCGCGTGGCCGACTTCCTTCGAGAGTATCAACGACAGCGTCTGTGAAATATTGAAATCACTTGTGCCGAACTGACAACGGGTTCAGAACTAGTTTAGAAAAATGGAATTTTGATAGTTGAGCTGATTAAGTTAGGATGAAGGAATACTGCGGTTAGAAAGATGACTCTGTTGTAGAGAAATATTGTATTTTTTTAACAATCAGTCTGCCAAATATTCAGATATTGCATCTTTAATTAAATATATTTTGCGTACGTATATTTGTATTTTTAAATGTGTTAAATATCTATACTGTGTTAGAACGTGTATGGCGAATGCAAAAATATCGAACTTTGCCAAAGAAATGTAGCTGGTCACGATAGCATTTATGAATATGTCATTTTATTAATACTGCAGTGAGATCCGATTGTCATGATTACACTGATCAACATTGAAACAAAAGAATCTAAAAATGTAGATGGAAATTACAAGATGTTTAATGCAAGTATATTTTGTAGAAATCACAAAGATATTTAAACAGCCATGATCTATTATAAGTCTTGATACTCATTGGGATCGTTTTTTACATTTATTACACTGATATTTTATTAAATATCTTGTAACTTTTTTGTAGTTAATGTTCAATACTTATCGAAAATAAATGATGAAATTTTTATTCAAACGTGTAATTCATGGCACAATTGTTAACACTTTACTTAAGTAAGATTTTTGAACGAGGGTACGTATTTCTAAATTTTATCAATATAACCACGATAGTCTTTCATTACACTATTAACGAAATTTCAAAATGTTTTACGCAACATACGTAAAAGTTCTTCCATGTACCAGACATTCAAATTTTTTCGCAAATAACTACAAATCTAAACTAACAAACTGCAGACAAATTTCTTGCTCGCAGATTAGAACAATTCGATTCAACTGCAGACGGAATTAATAAGAGAATTCAGTCATACAAACAGCAAGAATACCGAGATTCCTGCTTCGACTACATTTCGTGCCTCTCGCTTCCCTTAAGAATGATACTCCTTTGAGATTACACTTACACTTTCTTAAAATCCTGT